TGGCTCTCTGGCGCTAGCTTTAGAAGACACATTTGTCTGTGCGCTCCCCTTGCGGCAGACGAGGACATCATGCCGGTCATACAGCAATAAGCGCACAAACGGGCATCTATCCCCGATAAGGGGAGCCGTTAGTTGTAATAAGTATACAGTAGCATAGCGATTGTATCGTATAAATATTAAAACTCCCTGTGTATGAATTACCCGTTTCTGCTACTGGCTCTGATGCTGGATCCGCGACGGAATCCAAGCCTGCAGGCGAATAAAGTTCTTATCCCAGTGCTCGCATCTGCGTCTTCTCATCTACTTCCTCGGACCCGCACTTTCGCTCCTGTTAGCCTCTAGGTACTGTAGAGTTATAATCTAGGGCAGAGTTAGGGCTAAGAGCAGGACTACCGTATAGGTGTACGTTACGGTTAATGTTAACGTCAGAAAAGGAGAATATTGGTCGTCTGTGGAATTATGCGCGGGACCACCTTTATTAATCGAGCAAACATTCCTTTTCAAGTGTCCTGTTTATCGGGCAGCATAAGTAATCCTAACCAGGTAGTCATATAAGCAAAAATCGTATCCAGTGACCGACTCACCACATTTCCCCGCTTTCGTTAAAAATAACAGCTAGCTACTTTTCGTGTAGAGAAAAATATAATACTCGAGAAGAATAACTTCGGGCTCCGACTTCTGCATGTCGTTTGCATGGCGCAGACTTATTCTTGTTTCGGAACAACCTTTCGTCTTTAATTTATATCAAATTAGTTTTTTGACTGCAGTTCAAAAGGATCGTTAGGTTTTTTATGCAGTGATGCATGAATAAATGGAGTCCATCAGTGGGAGGGTAGATTAAGTAATCGTTTTTGTCGGCAAGGCACTAGTCGTTCGTAGGATGGCCTAACGGTGATTTTGTGGGATTAAAGGCTGCCTGTGGCCGACATGCGCAAGCTATGCCTTTTCCTGCGGCAGCGGAAAGACCTAATGAGTAACTACGTCACAGCACATTACATAGCGTCTAAGGAAAAATGAAGAAACTCAGGAGGAGGTGACAGTATCACGAGAACGTGGATATTTAAAGCACGCTTACGGCGATTAATTAATAAAGCACATAAAGCGTTTGCTGAACCTGAAAGCAGTCATCGGAAATTGTAGCATTTAACGTCAGAAAGGCAAGTCCAAGTCTGCTGGCCGGAGTTCCTTGCACTACTATCTTTTTTCAAATGAAGTTTTTAATTATGGGTCTATAAAACGATCCAAGCTAAATCGGCGAGAGAACGAGCCCGTGGCTCAACATGTCAGCATTTCCTAATTTACTTACCAACTTCCCAGTTCTCAAAAAGAAACCCTATAGTTTTATAAAACGAACACAACAGAAAGAGTTATATGGAAGTTATCGTGGAGGGTCCTAAACTGTAGATACGCATGTCAATCATCAACATTTGGTAGGAATGAAATGCTGGGTGGAACATATGTGAACAGAGCATACGGCATAGTATCATCGTGGACGTTTACCCGTTAGATTCACATATTTATCTAAATGTCCTCGTGAGACTCCGTAATGCTCATTGAAGTCACAGGATTACCGATGACGTTCAGAATGCAGTGCCATGTTTCAAAATATCTCAGGCGTCTTTTGAAGGGCGTGGCAATCTTTTCAACGACAGCAAAAGCAAACCAACGATTCATATCAGATGGATACGTAGACCCGTGAGGTAAAGAAATGGCAGGCTGCTTACTGTTGATGACGTTAACCTATATGATGCGTAGGCAGCGTACGCACACGATACCACAGAAATGAATCTTTTTCTTTCTCTCTCTACGGTTTATTGGCTGTGAAACGCAATTGGTCGGGAGGACGATGGGCAAAGAGCTTCAAACTGTCAGATTTTACTTCAAATTTCCATTCACCGATTTGTTAAGGAAACATCATGGCTTATTAGACAAAACATGCAATTTTGAAGCAGTCAAACGCAGGCTTGCAGAGGAAATGTTTGGCATCTGAGACTACTAGCTTTTCGCGGAAGGCATTTGACACAGAATGCAACAATGAAAACTAATTTTGGCGAAGGGGCTTGACAGAGGATGCTAACAAAGGCCTTATGCATATTACTGTGAAAAAGTAAAAAACCCGTTTCGAAGACGGGCCATCAGATGTCAAAAAATAGTGCCAGCTAGATGAAAGAATTTGGGGTGCCTATGCAAATCCAGCATAAATTCGACTTCTTTTGGCGAATGCTGTGATGTTAATAATTATTCTTCAGACTGGAAAGATACCGTCTTGCGGAGATCATCTGTAGTTGAAGTGTGCATAGGTGACAAGATTCCTTCCACTATAAAATGGTGGTAGGATAGCTTTTGCGTCCCCCTCCCATTAACCTCCGGAGAAATAAGGGCAGCAGTTAAGGTTATGATCAAGATTAATGATAGGGTAAACGTTAAGTTAGGAGTAACGTTTAAGACTTGGGTCAGCGTCAGTGTTGGGGCCGGAATATATTCATATTTTTTGAACTTAGCGCAAAGCCGTTTGTTCTACTTGCAGAGGTTGGCAGTTTCTGTTCCCGTGTACTCTCGGGGGACACATCAACCATGTCCACCAAAATGACTGCTTCTCTTTTTCCTCAATAAGTGAAATTGATAAAAAAAAAACACCGAATATCCAACTTAGAAGCAAGCTCATACGCTGGAATTCTTCAAAATAAGAGGTTCTTATAGAGGAATATTTTAAGGGTATAACAATAGAGTTTCTAATTGTTTACGCAGAATCCATTTCACTGTTGATAATTTTAAAAATTTTGTATCTTTCGCCTGAATTATCTTTGAATCAGAATAAAAAAGGATCATAAAGTTCTTATGCAGAAAAATCTTAAGCATCCTAAAAATGGATAGATCACGATGGGCTAGAAGACACCCGTTTACAAAGACTCGGTGTGAGTAGTCAGAAAATGGATGAAAGCGCAGCATGTGTGGCTAGAAGCCCCCCAAAAATGGAGTAGGCCTAAAGTGCATTTCAAATAGGAAAGGTTACCCGTGTGCCTTGAAACCTCGGTAGGTCTGAAAAATTCCCTTCGCTTATCTAAGAGCTCATGCCTGATTGAACTTTGATTGAATAAATTCACAAGACTTGTTAGTTTACTAGAAGAAAAGACAGGGGGAGCTCCTGTAAGTTGCTGCTGGACCGCGAGCTGCAGAACCATAGCTGATGTAGCTCGCGCCTCACGTGCTTATAACTTCCCGCGTTTTGAGCGATGGTATTACTCCTTCTAACTGGTGATGCTTATTCGACATTCCGTATCCATAATGAGCTCCCAGTTTATCTGATTTGATAGATTTGTCCACCGCTCTACCAGCTCTTGGCAAATAAATCAGCTGCTTATACCGATGTCTTTGTCTACTGCGAAGATTGTTGTGACATGAAAGCAGCGTCCAGGAAAGCGGCA